AGAATGTGTGTAAATGAATGCATATCCTTTCAAGAAATTTTTCTTTCTTTCAATCACTGGAAGATCCAATTACTTTGATAGAGCAATTGGTGGGATGTAAGGTGTAGAAGATGAAGACCATTGTGTTAGAATTTAAATTCCTATTAAATGTTAGCTAAACTTAGGCTTAAGGTAAAGGCTTAGGGACGCGGTGGCTCAGTGGCTAAGATGCTGAGCTTGTCGATCAGAAAGGTCGGCAGTTAGGTGGTTTGAATCCCTAGCACCGCATAACGGAGTGAGCTCCTGTTACTTGTCCCAGCTTCTGCCAACCTAGCATTTCAAAAGCATGTAAAAATGCAAGTAGAAAAATAGGAACCATCTTTGGTGGGAAGGTAACAGTGTTCTGTGCTCCTTCAGCGTCTAGCCATGCTGGCTACATGACCACGAAGACATCTTTGGACAGCACTGCCGCTTCAGCTTTGAAACAGAGATGAGCACTACCCACTAGAGTTGGGAACAAGTAGCACATATATGCCCGGGGAACTTTTACCTTTACCTTTAAACCTAGGCTTCACATACATTGTACCTTGTTTCCCTGAAAATAAGACCTATCCTAAAAATAAGCCCTAGAATGTTTTTTGTGTTGTGCCTAATATAAGCCCTACTTCCAAAATAAGCCCTACTTAAGAGCCTGATCAGCTGCCCAGTTGCCCATTCAGTCTGGTTGCTTGCTGTGCCGCAGCCTCAAGGCGAGGTGGTGGTGGACCTCAGGGTCCCCACAGCCAGGCCGTCCATGCCCCCACAGCTGCCTAGTGGTGGCAGCAGCAGCAGCACCCATGTGCAGCAGGAGCCCACATGACTGCCAGCCCACTTCTCCTCGCTTGCAACCTCAATGGAACAGGAGGCTGAGTGGCGTGCAGATGTCAGGGAATGGACGGCCTTGCTGCAGGGCCATGAGGTAAGCTGGTAAGGGGGTGCATGGGGCAACCCCACCCACCCCTGTCTTGCCTCATGGCTGCACTGGCACATTGCTCTGCCTCCTGCTCCATTGTCGCTGAGAGCAAGAAAATTGGGCCAGTGGCCACGCAGGGTCCTGCTGGACGGGGCTGGTGTAGCCACTGTTGCGAGGCAAGGCACATGTTGGAGCATGGGTGGTCTGGCTGTGGGGCCCTCAGGTAAGCTGGTGCGGTGTGCATGGGGCAGCTCCATTCCCCTGCATTGCGGAGGCAGCATTGGCACGCTGTGTAGCCTCCTGCCTTGCAGTGAGCAAGCAGAAGAGGGTCTCCCTTATATGGGAAAAAATTAAGGGACCCCCCAAAATAAGCCCTAGTGCTCATTTTGGGGTCCAAAAGAAAATAAGACCCGGTCTTATTTTCAGGGAAATATGGGTATAAGTCTACCTGATTAAACAGATTCTTGTCTTCTACAGTATATCAGATCAGATTCTCAAAACTTTTTTTAAAAAACAACTTTTCTATGAGATAGAATTTTGTCAGAGTATCCCTTCCCATTGTTGATGTTACAGAACTTACTGCATTCTTTAAATGATTCCAGTGCTAGGTGTAATTCCAGTAATTTGTCCGTGTTTTGATTTAGCACACTATCAATTTCATCTAGGAAGTGTGATCGACGGTTTTTCTCCTCCCATGTTAATAAGGTGTTATATTCCTTTTCTATTTTGGGATCGATGGCATCATCTTTTTTATAGCGCTCATAAACTCGATTCACATTCTCCAGAATACGGAAGAGTTTTTTAGAAATCTCCTGTAGGAACAGAACATATTTGCAGGGAAAAGTAGTGTATTGAATCATTATAGAAATTCCCAACTCAGCTGTCTAAACCACTTCATAGTTTTGGAGCTCTTTCAGTCTCCTCTTAAAATTATTGGAAATTTCTAGATGTGTGAATGTGATCTTACTGTAATATTTTAATTGATATGCTACCTGCTTTGTGTCCTATGAAGAAAGGGGATAGAAATGCATGTGAATTTTTTAAAATGTTAAATAATAGTGAAAGTCTCTTAGATTTTAAAATGAGCAAATTCATTTAATGATAGGCCTATGCATTTCTGCAGGTATTAATCAAACAATAAAACCTCCAGATTCAGAAATGATTACCTTGTAAAAAAGAACATAACCATAAACTTAAAATTCTGCTTCTGGATTTCCTTGAAACATCTCTCCTCTCCACCCATTGTAATTTTTTTTTACCCCCAAACAGGACCTAGACTTTGCTTAAAAACAAAAGGAAGGCATTGTGCTTTCTTTTTTCATTTAGGAAGGGATTCAATAATATAGTATTTTTCATGATAAAAGAGTTTAATTTGGGTGTTTTAGCATTTATTTGTGGAATAAATTAATATTTTCCTTCTTCCTACCTTTCAGCAGAGGTGGGTTCCTACCGGTTTGGCCGAGTAGGTAATAACTTGGCCTGCCACGCCCCCGAACAGGTTCTATAACCACCGGTGCCATCTTGATTTTTGGTTCTGCTCATGCAGAAATTTATTTTTTTCCCTTTTCTAAGGTTGTGCGCATACAGACCTTTTTAGATGCAGATGTGCATGCATTTTTGTGTGTGTGCGTCAAACTGGCAGTAATGCTGGCAGCAACCCACCCCTGCCTTTCAGAGATGGTTGGAGATGCTCAACAAAGCTGAATTAAAACATTGCTGTATTTGAGGGGGAACAGCAAATGCTACTCTCCTCAAACTACATTTCCTAGTATTCAAGACAAATCAGATGTTCCTCCCAAGATAGTAAATGCCATAAGATGTTGCCTTTGTATCTGGGAGATGTAGATGTAGATACACTTGTGACTTCTCTTCCCAAAAGTATAATGATGATAGTGGTTTAAAAGCAGATTATAGTACTGTAACAATGAAGTTTAAGAGCTGACTATTTCTTCCCCTTCATTAATGACTAGAATCAGATTATATTTCGCCTAATGGTAAAACTCTTACTGATTAGTGGTCCAAGAATATTTGTGCTTAATATGCAATTGATAGTCATGAATCTATGAGGCAAACCTAGCTGCTATTGTGAAGAGTTATGCAAACTTAATTGTTCTTTTCCAGGGCAAGGTGCTACATTTTTGGTGCCTACCTTCTTGGCTCGTTCCAGTTGTGCCACATCAATTTTATCCAAAACACGCCTTACAGAAATAGGAATTTCAACTTCGTTAGGCATGGTTTCTTTTTTGGTGGTTGCAACTTTGGGCACAGTAAGACCTCCTGATTCATATTCACTCACACTTTCTGAATTCAATGATGAAGAATCAAAGTCATCAGATTTTGGAGTCAAGGATGGTAGATTTTCCCATGCAACAAATCTTTGGAAATTCATGATTAATGCGCAGAATGAGCCAGATAAACCTCCTGTACTCTTTATCACATAATTTGTGTTGGTAGGTGAGTGGATGGGTGAAAACAAAGAGATTTACATTTCAAAATGTTTTGTTTTTTTACAGTTAAATGGAAAATCACCCAGAGAGGAGCAGATTCTGTTTATAGAATTGACGTCTCCGTTGCCATTCCATGGCTTCTAATCCATGATGTCACTAAGCAAGTAACAAACATTTGCATATAAAGAAGCTTCCAGGAAAAGAAACACACAATTCTACATACTGAATAGGAAGTTTCATTGACAACATGTCCCACCATATATCAGACCTTTGGAAGGAAAGCAGCATTGCAGTGATATACAGTAGTAGTTGAGCATTATAATCCTCAGTTTAGCTAAAGACATTTTGAAAATATTGAATATATTTGTATATTGGCACTGAACAGAGTCCCCTTTCAATCCTGGTATTATTTCTCCAAACTTTAATTGACAGTATAAGCCATTATCAAATGTTACAAAATATTTAATGTTGATTTGAAGCATCTGTCATAGATAGAATGGCAATGTTGATAATCGATTAATTTGTTATTGTATGTTTACTGCAAGAGACAGAGAATCAAAGAATGACAATTACTTGGAGGATTTTTTTTTGACTCACAACTTGGACAATTTGGAATATTTTATTCCATTACTTGGAAAAATAGATAAGATTATATGTATGGGTCAGGGGTGGGTTCTGGCAGGCATTACTGCTGGTTTCTCGGGGTGCGCTTTTATTGCACAATACAATAAAAATTGTTCTGCGCATGCGCAGAAGCAAAAAACAAGATGGCGGTGCCTATGGCACTGGTCGGAGAATCGGTTCAGGGGCGTGGCAGGCCTGGGTCGCTGCCGTTTCCAGTGATCCAGGCCGCCAAACCACTACCGATTTGGCTGAACCAGTCTGAACCGGTAGGAATCCACCACTGATATGGATGTAGGTATATATATATATATA